ACAGAAAGCTCCGAGTACAGAGTAGTTTAAAGTGCTTGTTGTGCAATAAAGTTAGTTGTGCTGTAATTTGAACGATCCAGTGAAACGAACCTGAAGGATTTTGTCAGCCTTCGTTTGGCGATTCTACTGGACCGATTTTTAAACCCTACCCATCATTCAAAAGGTATTTTACTGTATGGTTTCAAAATTCTATTAAATGGTGACACATACGAATTAAAGGGTGACACATACAAACCGGAATATGAACAAAAATGCGAAGACGAGACGAAGACGAATACCAGTATGGAGATGAAGAAGAATACGAAGACAAACAGAAACACGAAGAAGAAGACGAATGCGAAGATGATTGCAAAGACGAATACAAAGCCAGCACTAAAATTAATACGAATTCGAGGACGAGTACTAATACAACAACAAAGATAAATATAAAGAGGACAGCGAAGGGGAATGCGAAAACTAATATGAAGATGATTGCGTACGTAAAGATAGCGACTAAAACGAAGACGAAGAATTGTTCACGACCATAAGAAAAACTAGAAAAGTGTCCCAATGACGGGAGTAAATGTCACGTAACTCTGGCGGTCAATATTGCGCACACCTCCCTATGAAATACCATAGACCATTGGTATAGAACTACAATCAGACGTTTTGTCTTTTACCTTTGACCCATTTTTATGATGCTATCTTCGAAGCGACTCCAGCGCAAGGGCAGGGGTTTGCAATGATCCTGTGGCGACCATTCTTTTGACGTGGTGGGGATGAAAATGCAGTAAAGCCACTCTAAAAAGTTGAAAATTAGATCTCGAGAAAAAGTCTTCTAAAGCCTCAACAGCTACGAGATGGATCTGAAGGCACATAGATTAGAGATGGGCGCCTCACTAAATGTTAAATCCCGATCTCGCCCATTCCAACATAAAATTTCTAGGTCTCGATCCCGCCCACCTCAACGTTCCTCAGACTTAATTTTAAATAGTTTCCTTGGATATCTTTTTCGAATATTTCACCTGTCATACTGAAAGAATTGGCATCTTCTAGCTAGTCTGTCTTGCTTGCCGTTAGTTTTTGGTTTCAATAAAACGTTTAAAAGATTTTATAAATTTTCGAAAGTTGCGGTTTTATCGGGAATATCGGGAAAGGATTTTTTTCCTGTCCCGAACGGAAATTTTTAAAGATCTGACTAAATTGGCATTAATTTGCTTCTTATTTGTAAATATAGCAACTTTGTGAAGGTTGACGACTGTTAAGCTAATAGGTACGTTTGACTTACATGAGTAAAGTTGCAGATTACCCGATTAAGGAAAGCCTATACGTTGGTTAATATTTTTACTCGTATACTCATTTTATTTCTCGTTTAATTGAATTTCGATTCCAACATAAATCTTTCACACTCTGAAGTGCATGACCGAAAAGGAAAATTGAATATTATTATCCAAAACTTGATCGGCGATGATTTTAATCGTATCCCTTTTACCACAAAAAGCGCCTAAATCAATAGCCATGAGAACCAATATTCCAAAAAATGAGTGTGTGTGGCGTTCAAACATTAAATCCGCCAAAAAGGGTGATTATAAAATGTAACCTGCATATTGACCCAAATATTACAAATGTACATATGTATGTATTACACCGTGGTCATCTAACAATCGAAAGGCAGCTTACAAACGCTGACATGCTCCATTTTATTTTTTGCGAAAGCGACGCACAAAAATTATACGAGAATATACGCACGTACTACGTATTCCCTCGCTACAGCGTGCATTGGCGGCAAAAAGGTTTGATTTATGGCAGCACAGCATGGTACCAACAAATGATCCGAAAAAGAGCAGACCAAAAGCAGCAGCAGCAGCAGCATCAGCAACGACCAACCAGTGCGTAGACAGTGGCGTTTCGCGCTGAAAACTCATAATTGAGTGTCACATGGAGTGTCGCGCATGCGCGCAAACATTGGTGGAAAAAAAATTGGTAGCAACGTAAACGAAGCGGCAGCAATTGCTGTTGTTGAACAATATTGAATTACAAATGAATTTAGTTTAGTTGTTGTCGTCAACGCCATCGTTGTCATCGTTGTGGTGACCAAGCCATAGCCAACAAAAGTCATAAGTCGTCGTTGTCTTCGGCTCCATCACCAACTTTGTTTGGCTTGTTTCTGGGAAAAAATCCGCAAACTAAACTTCCATTAACTTCCTTCTACGCGCGTCGTTTTAAACGATTCGGACCCATTTTACGAAGACGCATAGTGCGTTGCTCTACGCAGCTCAGTTAAGGTGGCTTTTGGCTGATCCTCTGGCGCATAAAAATGTCTCAATTAAGTGCATGTGCGAGTATGGTGCAAAGGCGCACCAACCATTTGAGTATGAGATGGCGCAGTGCCGGTGCCAGTAGTCATATGCAGTCAGTTGGCGAACTTTTGTACTTGAATGACTACAATATGAGTATGCAGATCAATCAATCAATCAATTCTAGCGTCGTAGTATTTAGAATGCCTTCTTTATCTTTTGCAGAGCAACTTTAACCATGGATATGGTACCGTGCGAAGAAGTCCACGTAAGCGCGCACAGCTTTTGACTTCCATTCACCTGAAAGTGGCCCGAACTTATTATAAGAGAAATCCTTCAACATCTCGTTTATCTGCACCCATTCCCCGACGAAAGAAAAAACCGAGACGTCCAAGAATCTCTTCAATGAGCGCTTGGAGCGTATATGTGAGCTCTGCCCCAGAAACGATATCAAAATCGTGCTTGGCGATTTCAATGCCAAGATGAGCAAGGATGGGGATCTTTGGCGCCACTTTCGGTTATTTCAGCCTCCACGACAACACGTCCGATAACGGACTGAGACTGGTAGACTTTGCTGGGCCTGAAACGTGGTAGCATGTAGTACTAGGTTCCAGCCTAAAAAGGCCAAGCATCGACTCGGACCACTAACTTGTTCTAGCTAAGATACAGTGCAGCTAAAAATTTGTTGGCGTACATAAGCAGAGAGAGGCCGAAATACGTGAGTGCGAAGAGCTTGAAATGCTGGCCGACACATAAAACATCCGAATTTTTTTTTCAGAGAGTTAGGCGACTTACAAAAGGTTCCAAGACTAGGCGACCTAGTGACCGATATCTAGAACGTATGTACTTAAATTATGAAGGCAGAACTTTTCCACCCTTTTGAATGCCAGCTGCACTCAAAGCAGTGTAGAAGACGAATGATGGGGTCGTTGTCTGGCCACCTTACTATGATGCGGTTCAAATAGTAAGAAAGCACACCGAGCTATTCAAGCCCGGCTGGGAGGAGTTGATAGGGTACATGCATCTGGTCTTATGCAGAGTATGGTCGGACGAACGCATGCACGACGACTGGAATTCAAGTGTGCTCTGCTTAATCCATACGAAAGGAGATCTTGCCATACGCGCCAACGCCTTATCAGTGTAGACCTTATCAGTGAATTGACCAAGTATTCATAAAACGCTAATTATTGGAGAAGACTCGCGAGAATAGGATCGGCATACCATCAAACTGACGTTCTAGAGCACGAAAAGTCGCTGTCTCTATGCCGTGATGTCTGAATTTTGTGTCCGCCTAAAACAGTAATTCAGTCAGCTTCATTAGAATTGGAGAGGACCTATCCGAGCCGTTTGATATCAGACAACATGACTTCATTTCGTGTGAGCTCTTTAATCTGAAACTGGAGCAGAAAAGTGCATGAGTCTGGTGGTGAATTAGGGCATAACGAAATATGTATATCTTGCCTTCAGAAAATATAGTCAGAGCTCTCAGAATAACTGCCTGGGCATCCACGTCACTGGTACAAGTGTTAAAAAGTAGACGACTTCATTTATGTATTTAGGAACCAACATTAACACCAATAGCAATGTGAGCCATTAAATTCCATCGGAGAATCACTTTTGCCAAGAAGTGCTACTTTGGGCTGCGGGAATGAATTGGGATAAAAGGCCTCTCTGGTCGTACAAAAATCACACTCTATAACTCAGTCATAATTCCCGTGGGTGTGTATGGCGCAGAGCCACGGACAATTAAAATATCGGATGATACTGCTCTTGGAGTTTTCGCGCGTTGGCGATGGCTATTGGAGCTTTTGAATTTTGCTCAATGTCATTTTACACATGCGAGCGTTTAGGCGACTGCTGTTTTTGCTGTTAAAAGCGGTTTTAAGTTCTACACAACCGATTTTTCCCCCCGAAAGTCTTCTCGAAGATTTTGGTATGGTTAACGGTGAATGGTGGGCCGACTTCGTCGTCCTGGACTGGGACTTGGCCTCATCTTCTTCACTGTACTTTGGAGCTCTTACCATTCAGCAGTTAGAAGAAGTTTTCCCACCATAGTTCAAGCAAGCTCTGGACATCGGTCGCTAGGTATTATTCATAAAGGAATTCGATTTAGACTTGAAACTTCAGAAATTTTTCGTGTCGGTCAGCCTCTGAAACTCGTAGCACTCAAGTATTTTGGGCTTTATCTTTTTAATATGGAAAATACGTTTCGTGTTCCTATGATCGGACTGCTCACATATGTTAATTTGTGGAAGAGTGCTCTCTAAGAGCAGGTGGTAGATGAGTGGAAAAGATACTGGATGGCTGTGTTTCGAGTGTTGTGGGTCGGTAATTTTTTGTTTAAAGAAAACATTTTAGGGTTTACCACATCGCATAAGGCTTACTTGCGATTACTTTCGAATGCCAGGAATTGACATCAACTGCGGTTTCTAGTTTGCCTATTATTGTCTTTTCCGTCGATGCTCGCTTCGCCAGCCTTAGAACGATTTGATATTAAGTTTTTTTTTTTTTTAATTCTTAGGCTTACGCATTCCGTATGCCAGCGTTCCACAAAGAAGACAGTGTAAATCATCAAACCATCAAAATACTCCACCCTGTGCCTTGCAATCCTATTCAAAATTAAAAACAAAATTCATTGTCGTATAGCAATTTATATTGAGAAATTATCATTTGTATTTCAAAGCTGTCAAATTGGTATTGCTGTGTTGCAAGTTCGGTACTACTCTATGTCCAATTACTCAACAATTGGTCAGATGGTACCAATTTCAAAGGTGCCGGTGGATTGGCAAGGAATGGCGGTGGCGGTAGGGCCGTTATGCTTCTGTTCAAAATAAAACAAAATAAAATAATTAAACACGCTTTATAAACATGTTTAATGCTTCATTTGCTTACCTTGGGTAAATGCGTGGAGCAGGCTTGTAAAATCTGTAAAATTTTAGAAAACTTAAGTTTAAAACAAATTTTCTTTATATTTATGTAAGTGCGAGCGTCATGTGAACCTACCTTGGTTTGGGTGCTACAAAGTTTGTAGATGCGAATTGTCTGAAATTAAAATTTATATGAACATTTATTTAGTTAGTTATCATTCCAAATGTGAAAATAATATCTATTTAGGGCGCATCACTCTCGGTACTGATTTTCTAACGGAAATATAAAATATTTTGTAAAAATATTAAAACTAACGATAGCCACACTTAATTGAAAATACCTCCAAAAATAAAAAATTAAATAGTTTTTAAAATATTTTTTTCTAAAAAATCACCTCGGTTGATAGGAAAGTTTAAGCTTAAAAGGTCCGCATAGAAATTATATCGTCGGAATCAAAAAATAAGAGATTTTCGGAGGTTTTTTCAAATAGGTTTAGCCCACGTAATGTGAAAGTAATATCTATGTATATTAGGGTGTATCACTATCCACACAAAAAATATCGGTACTAATTTTCTAACGGAAAAATTTAGATTTAGATGAGCTGCACTTAATTGAAAATACCTTCAAAAGTATAAAAAAAATAGTTTTAAAAATATTTTTTTTTAAAATCACCTCATATTATGGAAAACTGTATCAACGGAATCAAAAAATAGATTTTCGAGGTTTTTTTTTTAATATAAAACATTTTATAACTGTGGTGGAAAAACCGCAACTTTTTTGCACCCTAATGTATATCTACATATATTGGCTCTAGAAAGGATATATTTGCCTTGCAAAGTTTTAAAAGACCTACCTGGCATTTGAAATGGGGAAACGAATTGGAAATTTGGAAGCTCGTGGCTTGGCCAAAGCTTTACCCTTTGTCTTGGAGGGCTTTTTGGTAACACCTTTAGATTTCCGAGCGCCAGATCTGTTAATAAAACATGGTAGTAGAATAAATAAGAAATAAAATATTTATCGTGTTAACTCACCTGGCCTTAGTGCCCTTATAAGTTCTGAAATTTAATTGACATTAGAAAAGCCAAAGTTTAAAATGCAGCCACCTATTTCGTTCAACAATAAGTCCGAAATCTTACCTTGCAAATCCACTTTTCGTAAGCGACTTAGTACGTTTGAACGATTGTCGCGGCAAATAAACGACTCGCGGATGATGACCAAACCCTTCATGTCCAATTATTACCGGCTCCGGTTCTAGTACTGCTTCCTCTTCAGGCTCCTCCTCTTCTTCTTCTTCTTCCTCCTCCGCGGCTTCACCACTGCCGCCTGCTTCTCCTCCTCCTGCCCCACCGCCTTCGCCGCCCTCTGCCGCACCACCACCTTCCGCAGCTGGTGCTGCTGGTGGTGCAGGCGCGGTGTACATGGCCGACAATTGTATGGGAACGAAGGCAGGCAGTGAAACTGTAAGTGGTACGCCAGGTGGTGGTGGACTAGCGCCAGCTGCTGGTTCAGGTGCAGCTTCCTGCTCTGGCGCAGGCTCAGGTTCTGGCTCCGGCTCCGGCTCAGGTTCGGGTTCTGGTTCTGGCTCCGGTTCGGGTTCGGGTTCGGGTTCAGGCGCTGGTGCCGGTTCTGGCTCTGGTGCTGCAGGTTTTTCAACCTCTTTCCAAGCTTCGAGTAGTGCTAGAAGCTCCTCTTTAGTAATGCCAATGGTTCCAACGGAGCTAGCAGGTGCAACAGAGCCTAAACCAATTGGCCCCAAACCTACCGGCCCCCAGCCGCCATAAAGTGAACGTTGTGAACGCATAACGGGTTGAATGGGTAGGCCATATGGTGAACGCGCTTGTCGCTGTGGTTGATTTGGTTGTTGTTGCGGTTGTTCCTGGTGATGCCGATGTTGCGGTGCGTAATGCAGCGACTGCAAGTGCGCCATCTGCGGCGGTATTTCGAACACATACTGACCCGTTAGACTGTGTACCAGGCAGCAGAACAGCAGCGCGAGCGTGCTCTGGAAACACAATAAATAGCTAGACCTTTACAACTTTTAAACAATATTTAAAACTCACAAAAATTGTTGGCGGCCACATTTGAGGAAACTCGGCAGCACTTATACACTTTCTTTGAACTTTTGCNCTAGACCTTTACAACTTTTAAACAATATTTAAAACTCACAAAAATTGTTGGCGGCCACATTTGAGGAAACTCGGCAGCACTTATACACTTTCTTTGAACTTTTGCACTAAATTCGCTTGCAGATTTATTCCTTTAGAAATTATTAATTAATTTTTTTTATCCGTTTGAAATTTAATAATCCTTAACTGAATTGCCCCACTCTCCAAGCTGACGACGTTGAATGTGTCTGAAATAATGGCGTGATTTATTTTTATATCAACTCAGCTCAATCGAAGTCAGTAATCCCACGAAATTAATTCGATTTTTTCCTTAAGTATTTGGTACAACCACATTTACCAGCTTCGCAGCCCATTTAGCCATGCTTCCTTATCCTACAACTAGGAAGCAATGTACATCGCTCCACTCCAATACTTTTATGGACCAGGGATGCTTCGAATGTCATATTTTTCACATTCGCGAATACGAATTTTCGGAATGCGAGTGTGCGATTGCGAATATTAGGAATAACATTAAATATGCTATAATCAATTTAAGTCATCATTATAATTACTTAAAAATTTGTAAATTATTAGAACATTGAACGAGTGCTTAACCGATACAGTGTTTTAATCTAGTATCTAGTGGAAGTTCAAAAGGGGTATATTATATTTAAAAAAAAAAGAAGTAATTTTGCTGCATTTTCTACCATGATGCGATTTCTTAGAGGCTCGTATATAAAGCCGGCTGCACTGAATAATTGCTCACGTGCGGGCCAGATCTGTCAATTTGTCATATTTTAGTTTAGTTTCCCACCAAGCAATAGGATTTCCACCGAGATGGGCTCGTTTTTCTTAAAGATAGGCCTTCAATTCAGCATTGATTTCACAGTTTTTAATGTCTCCAGATTCTAGATCCGGCCCTTCGCTTTCGCGAATGTGTAAAATGATGCCAATCATTCGCGTAACGAATGCGAATGCAAATATTCGCAACATCCCTGGTATGGACATACTTGGCCGTTGTTACACTTTTGTTCGAAACTTCAATACTTAGCGATTTTCATTAGCTTAAACACCATAACGGCACATATTCGGCTACTGGAAATGCTTGTTTTTATCACATATTGAGCGCGAATATAAATAAATTTAATGCTCACAGCTTAATAAAATAGGCCAGAGGAGCTTTGTGGGTTGACATGAAAAAATATAGCGGAATACAGGAAAAACAAAACATAAAATAAAAATTATTTATGTCACGCTCTTGGTTCAAATTTGGTCAACGAGCGTCTCACCGGATTTTCTTATTTGCCAATATGTATTGTTATATGTACGCATGTGCTGCGCTGCGCTTGACCATAAATATTGGCTAGGTATTTTTGACACGAATGTGGCAGTATGTTTTCACTGCACCTACATATTTACCTATTTATGTATACGCTGTTGCATACATTCGACGCAACAAACAACATTTCAAAAAAGCCAGGGGAGGTGAGCCGCAATCCAACGTACAAGTGTTAGCAATAATTTTAAAAATTTTTGCAAAAAAAAGCAAAATAAATATGGACTTTACGCCTCAAAACGGGATTGTGTGCTGACTTCCGATCAACGAATTAGTGATGCGCTACATAACGTTGCAAGTTACACAGTGCACTGGTATGCATGTAGTAAGATGCCCATGTGCGGCGGTGGAGTCATGTCGCAGTTACGAAATCGTAATAATCGACAGTTGTAATATTTTTTTTTGTTGTTTGTTTTTTTAATAATAAATGTTAGCAAATTTGCATTCATAATTTTGCAACTTGAGTACATTAGGATAACTCGCCAAAATAAAAAATCCGGCTAAGCGAAATCAATGCAGATTACACTAGCCTACACCAATTTTGGTGCCTAACATTTTAGAGCTGATTTTAATTATGTCTTACCAAGTGAAATCCGTGGGGACCACGCCTTACGGGATTGTTTGCTCACTTCCGATGAAAAAATTGGTGATGCGCTACATTATGTTGCAAATTATACAGTGCTCTGGTATTTATGTAGTAAGATGCCCATGTGCGGCGGTGGAGTCATGTCGCTTTTACGAAATCGTAACAAGTCAGTTGTAATATTTTTTTTTTGTTTTTTGTTTTTTAACAAATGTTCACAAATTTGCATTCATAAATAGTAAGAAATTAAGAAACAACAACATTGCATTTCGCAACTTGAGTGCATTAGGATGACGCGCCAAAATAAAAAATCCGGCTAAGCGAAATCAGTGCAGATTACACTAGCCTACACCAATTTTGGTGGCTAGAGTTTTAGAGCTGATTTTAATTATGTATTGTCAAGTGAAATCTGTGGAGACCACGCTCACGAAATCGTATTGACGATTGAAAACAGATTGGCCATAAAGGAATGCACGCTCGTAGTCGAGCTTCTTATGGTGGGGTTGCACCGCAGACTGGTGATAAAGGCAAATATAAAGATAAAGATACAGATACAGATAAATATAAATCTGAAGATTAAGATATGCTATGCCATGTTATACTGGTCACCTCACTTTAACTCAACCCTACTGACTTTATCCCACCTCAATTTCCCTCTCTTCAATGTAACTCACCTCTACTCAACCCAACTGACCTTATCTCACGTCAACTTACCTTAACTGAAATTAACTCACCTCACTTCATCTCAACTCTTTTTAACTCACCTCAACTCATGTCATCTCATCTCAGGCCAGCGAAGCAAATCACAAATTAAATTTATTTCTTGATTTGTATTAAAATCACTCAACCCAGTATTATGTTATTGAATCTTATGTTATGTTAAGCTCTGTAGATCGAAACCTACAACTAGCTGGATTTTGGAACGATTTAAAAATGAATCGATAAAAGTTTCACTTTCATTGGTACAGATCTGATTATCATGATTTTCAAGCTACTACCTTCTGAAACCTCTTTCTCGGACAACCATATGGTGAAAATATTTCACTTATATACCTATATGCCTTAATTCAAATTGAATTTGATTTTTAAAAAGGTGGTAACCCTCTTATATGTGGTTAAGAAATAAAGTCTTTCCGAAGCCATTTCGATTGATATCAATATTGTAGTAGTTGATTATTAAATAATTTAATTTTTCCAAAGGCGGAAACTTTTCGAAAAAATAAAACACAGGCCAAGCCACTTAACTTGACACCTTATTTTTGAAAATCAAACTATTGGTGGAGATCTGATGACATTCACAAAAAATGTCTTCGCGTATTACTTACATATATCGTTACTAGACACGAATAAAGTTGACCGCGAAAACAGACCCACGAAAAAAAATTCTGCGAAGAAAGACGCGAAAATACGTTATTTCTTCGCTGTCAACTATGTTTGCAGTATGTAAATCCCCTAAAGTGTTTTTCGGGAATGATGCTGAAGTGACAGTCTTCGGGCAGGTATAAATGTCAAAGGATCTTTTCACCGGAGCGTCGTCATCCATGCGTACAACATGTCCAAGCCAGCGCAATCGCTGTATTTTTATGCGCTTAACTATGTCCACGTCATTAAAAAGCTCATACAGTTCGTCATTCCATCTTCACTGATACCCGTCGTCCACGAAAACATCTTTCTTCGACAACGTCCAAGTTTCTGCGCCATGCAAAAGGACGGACATGATGAGAGATTTGTAGAGCGTGATTTTCGTTCGTCGAAAGAGTGCTCTGCTTTTCAAATGCCTACCGAGCCCAAAGTAGCACCTGTTGGCAAGAGTTATTCTTCGCTTGATCTCCAGGTTGACGTTGTTGGTAGTGTTTATGCTGGATTGTAGGTAGACAAAATCCTTCACTACTTCAAAGTTATATTTGCCAATAGTGACGTGTGTCCAGAAATGCATGAACTCTTTATATGTTGCCAGGAGCAAATTTGTCTTGCCCACGTTCACCGCTAGGCGAACCTCTTTATCTTCTATTTCTAAACAGGAAAATCCTGCAGCTACGTCCCTTTATTTCAGACCTACGATAGCGATATCATCTGTATACACCAACAGCATCATTCTTTTGCTATATACGGGTGATGCTACGATTCAGATTGACAGTCGCACGGGAGCGAATCGCCTTGTCTAAAACCTCGTTTGTTCAACGTAACTCTACATAGCCGTATTAGTTTTGCGGGGATACCAAATTTGGACATGTCGTCGTACAGACAGCTCCTCTTCGTGCTATCAAAAGCAGCTTTAAAATCGACAAAAAGACGGTGTTTGTCGATTTGCTTATCTAGTGACTTCTCCAGGATTTGACGTGCTGAGAAAATCTGGTCTATGGTTGACTTACCTGGTCTGCAGCAAGAGTCTGGGTCCAATCAGTTGGTTCATGAACGGCTTCAGTCTTTCATACAGTATCGTCGACAGGACTTTGTATGCAATATTGAGAAATCTTATTCCGCGATAATTCACCTAAAGGCGGGATCTTCCCTCCTGTGGATTAGGCTAAGTACACTAAATTCCAAATTCTGCTTAAAAACAGCAAACAACCACTAGCGCGCCTTTATTCTTGTACAGAGACGATATAAAAGTATGTATATGGGTATTAACTGAGCAGAGAAGTTTTGATCTTTGTTGATTATACTGAAATTTTCTAATGGTCCTAGCCGATTCACATCGGGCGTAAGGTGCAGAAACGAATCCTATATCCTCCATGTGTTGTAAACCTAGTCTGCATAACAATATTGTTTCCGTAAAGTAGATCTCCTTTAAAGTAAGTGGAATATATTCACAAAATACATAAGTATGTAGTAACAAATATACTTTCTCTAATAATGGAATGGTCGATACTTTGACTTGGAATGCCAATAGTTTGATTAAT